TTAAATATTACTGTAATGAATATGTGATAGGTACACTATGTAATATTATATTATACACACAATTATGAATATATGTATATATGTTTTATATATATAAAACCCCATTTGTCTAATATTTAAGCAAATAAAAATAGCTAAGATGACTGACTCACCCAGCCAATTAATCCTGGACGCAGCTCACAGAAGTATTTGAGATCAAAACTGCCAATACGAGGGTTTAATTCATGTCCAGTAAAAAAGTCATACACAAAATACCCTGCAGATAACAGAGTCATTGTCAGCAATACTCTTCCTTTATCTGCCACTATGCTCCTCCCCATAAAGAGGTTCCTACTTTCTATTAAGTTCTCTCATAAATAAAAGAGCCTTTAGGTTGGCAAGAAACATGATACTATATGCAAAACACAAAGCAAAACCTACATGGTTTGTAATTTAAGAGGCCCAAATATTTTATTTATTAGGACTAAACACATCAGAAGTTACTGCAGGCTTATTTCTCCTTGACCTGTCCATCAAGGAGGTGGATAAGAAGGAAAATCCAGTACCTGGAGAAGACTGCATGGAAACCTCATAGCAGCCTTCCAGTATCTGAACAGGGCCTACAAGGATGCTGGGGAGGGACTCTTCATTAGGGACTGTAGTGGTAGGACAAGGGGTGATGGGTTCAAGCTTAAACAGGGGAAGTTCAGGTTAGACCTAAGGAAGAAGTTCTTCACAGTGAGGGTGCTGAGGCACTGGAACAGGTTGCCCAAGGAAATTGTGAATGCTCCATCCCTGGCAGTGCTCAAGGCCAGGATGGACAAAGCCCTGGGCGACATAGTTTAGTGTGTGGTGTCCCTGCTCATGGCAGGGGGGTTGGAACTACCTTTAAGGTCCTTTTCAACCCTAACTACTCTATGATTCTATGACTTCAAGATACCCTGCACTGAGTTAACAAACAAGCACTTTGCAGACCAGTTACAGAATGCTACTGTGCCACTTACAGAGACTGGAACTGCACTTTGAAAGAAAAAGCAATGTATGATCATTTATTATTTCCCTTCCCACACATACATGCTGCACTGATGAAGGAATTGAAGACCTCTGAACACTTCATTTTAAGGCACTAAATGTTCTGTCCATAAACTGTGTCTTAGCCACCCTATGACCATTTTTAAAAGCGATCTGTTTAATATTTAATGCCAATCTATCCTTTGTCCTACAAAACCATCTGCATAGAGTTGAAACTTTCTAAGTAGGCAGTCTCAGGACTGAATCAAGATTTCTTCTGGAAACTCAATTCAGCTATAACTAGATGTTTTTAAAAGGATACTTTTTAGAACAAAAAGTGCACAGCAAAATAAAACTTCGTAATTTCAGGTTCTGTCCCTGACTTCCCACTGCCAAAACATCTACAGCTTTCAGTTTTCCTTTCCATTCCCTGCTGCTGAAGGCCCATTGGCAGGGGCACTGTGAAGCAAACTAGACGTGCCTCAGCCAAATGCTGAAAACAGAAAGGAAGGAACTGTCCTCTCATCTCTAAGGGACTACAGCAGCCAAAATATTTGTGTGTAAGCTACTCAAAATAATCCAATTACAATTTTAAGTATTTTACAGTATCTGAGTGCAAACAAAAACCTGCCATTAAACATGCAACATGCATTTTATATTGGTTGAAAGTCAACAGTCATCATCAGCCCTAAAAACAAGCCTTTCATTTATAAAAATGAAACTGTAGCAAATAATGGGAAAGAAATGATCCAAATTATTTCTAACTCACCAGAATTTCCACCTGGGGCCAGTTCTTCCTCGGGTACTTTCAGGGACCGAATATACAGATAAACGCTCAACACCATAGAAAAAGCTGCAGCTGACACTGCAAACTGCAGGAAGTGATCATACAAATAATGAAGTTCAAACTGGAAGTATAATAAAGTTCCAATAACTGCAGCAGTCAAAACAAAAGCATAAAACCCTAAAGGATGTAAAAGACAGACATGTTAGCAAAAATTAAGGTAATCGTTCCAGTAGAACCTACCCAGTCCAGCCCTCCTGCATTTGTACACCTCCCAGTACCTGCTGATATTCCAATAGCATCTTATACATCCCATGCTCTTCAGGTTCAAACTTCTGGGGTACAGCAATATACTGAGGAGATTATGTCTAAGCCCTGGAATTTCCTGTGCTCCTCATCAAGAGGACAAGAGGCAGGGACACTCCAAGTGCAACCACATGTTTTACAAGGTAAGATCCCATTTCAGGTATTAGTGGAAAAATGGACACTGATACCAGTAGTGGATCATGACAGTAGGTCACAAAATCTTATCTATCTGTGGGACAGCTTGGATAACTTCAAGAAGAAAATATGGTCATCTCCATGTATACCTTGATACAGATAGTGGTAATTAAAGTGTTCAAATAACTAATCAAGTAAAAACTTGAACACAAGACTTCTGCAGTGCAAGTATAAAATCACGTAGAATAGAACAATGTCCAAATATCAGCAGGCAGTTTACATAGCTCTCACCTAAGTTACTTTCTATGAACCCTTTCATGGGGTCACAGTGGTTGAGGTTAGAACTCATCTAGTCCAACCCTCCTGCTCGCAGAGGGTCACCTGCAGCTCTAGACCATGTCCACACAGCTCAAATATTTCCAAGGATGGAGAAACCTGCATTGTCTGGGCAAGCTGTGCCAGTGCTCAGTTACCCTCAGTAAAAAAACCTGGTTCCTGACATTCAGATGGAGCTGCCTCTATTTCAGTTTGTGCCCGTTGCCTCTTGTCGTGTCACTAGTACTGCAAATCATTGCTGCAATCGTACTGCAGTGGTATCAAACTTCAGAATAAGCAACTGCAACATGCTTACCATTTATCCGGTACTGCAGTTTCCTTCCATTTGAAAGAGGCAGGCCTTCTACAACCTAGGAAGAATAAAACAGCAGTGTTTCAACAGAGTACTTTGTGAGGGCACTGGCAGGGGAGGTTAATTAAGCACATCTCTGCCACAAAGATGGTAATCAGCTAGACAGTCAAATCTGAAGATCATGCAGAGTTCTCCATAGCATACTCTGCCTATCAAAAGAAAAAGGGTAACAGTGTTTGAAACATTTAAATAAAAAGATCTCTTCCTAACCAGTCTCAAGAAAACAGAGCAGCTGCAATGACTGTAAACACGTACAGCAATAGAACAAGCTGATTAAATGATCTTTTTATTGTAGTGTTCTTCCAGAATCGGCCAGCGTACCTCAAATCACAAAAGGAGGGAAATGGAGCATTTGCCTGCTATACATATGGCCACAAAGATTTATAGCTTCCTGTAAGTGAGGATTACATTCCAAAACACTGGATATCAATAAGAAACTGAGTATCAAATAGTTTGCAGATTTTAAAGTCAGAAAGCTAGAAGAATTTCAGGTATCTATCAGGCAGATTTTATCCATGCTCTGATTTGGACTCCTATATAATGCCTTCTGCCTTTTCTGCTGTAAGACTGTGAAATGCACAGCCATTAAACTCTTAAACTGTGCTATTTTAAGTTTACGGAAATCTGCAGTAGCTGTATTCTAGCTTAGTATGGCAAACTAATTCATTTGCTTTCAAATTCACTGCATTAAGAACATACCCTACCTTCCAGCCTTACACACAAATTAATTATCCATGAAGACCCAATTGCTTTGCTACTGAACAGCTTACCTTTCCAATTGGCAGTAAGTAAAACAGAGCTTGAAGGAAAAACCACAGAAGACAAACACCAAACACCCTCGCCTCCCAAAGACTTTGAAGTGCTGGGAGAGGAGGGGGGAAGTTCATAAGACTGGGGTCATCTTGTTTGCACATCAACAGCAAGTAGAGTACAGTAGCAGGCAGGAAAAATATCAGTGTGAAGGTCCCTGTAAATAAGCATCATGCAATATTAGAAGATAAACAGAGAAAATTAAAACCATAGTTTCAATGGTATTAATAAATGTCACTATTAACTTCAGTGACAGAGCAGAGGTTGTCATTATCTATTCCTGAAGCAAGACTGCAGCAATCCCCCTGTCACATAATGGGACACAGGCATTCTTCTCACTTCCATACGAGGTCATACAACCAAAGCAAGGGATCACACCCACTGCATCCCTTTTAAAGCTGTTCAATAAAACTGTATGAATACTTCACTGCTGAGTTTCGAAAATGTAAAAACTTTGCTAGTTACTTCTGAAGTTTCATTTGGAAATATTTAAATCCCACTGTGCAAGGGAAGGCTCCAGACCTGCACTGTATTTCACAAGAGAACCAAGTGTAGTAGTGATTCTTTGACTGCCACCAACACGAGCACAGACTACATGAAGTGTCATGTGACCCTGGATTCTGCATCCAGGGTCCAAACATTGGACACAATGAGAATGGTCAGCAAGTAAAAAACAGAACAGCACTACTTTTTTTACTCTTAAGACAATCTGCACACATACCAATTCTTCCTCCAAACTCTAGCTCTTTTGTTTTTGATGATGCTTTCTCAATTGCTTTTGATGATGCCTTCTCAATTACTTTTTTTGTCTCAAAAATCTTTTTTTCTGAATATATCTCTTCTTTTTTCTTTTCTTCTTTTCTTGGACGCAAGCTGTACTGTTCAAGCACACGTGTGATTTCCAGGTCTGGTTTCAACTTTTGCTGTTAGTAAATAAAAAGAATTTACTAAAAAAATTCCCAGTGGTATTACCTATTGTACTCCAGTGTTTTATATTTAGGAGGACATTATTCACTATAAAACACCACTATAAAATGTGCTCTACTCCTATACAGTACTTAAGTTTATGCATTTATATGAAGAGACTGCTAAAACCAGTTTCATTGTGATCACTTAGGCCACGATTACAGATCAGCAGCAGTTCATCCATCTCCACCCTCCTCCCCTCCTTTCCATTCTAAAGGAGGACTACAGAACTAGTTTGGCTTTTAAAAAAAAAAAATAAATAAATTAATAAATCGCTTTTGAAGGCCAAACATTGACCCTGTAGAAGCATGGCAGTGAACACAAGTAACCAGAGAGGGTTTGATAGAAAAACCGAGAAAAAATTGTTAGGCTGCTCCAGTACTCTGACAACTTCATCTCCCTTCCCCCTGAACTGACTTAGCTGAACGGTAGATTTACTTGACCTCTAAGTTTTACACTGCATTCTATTTCTCCTTGATGAATGTACTGCCCTTTCCTAAGGATTTCTGAGAAAGCTGTTAGAATGTGACACCAAACTAAGAGTAAATCCGATGCTCATACCTCTGCGATTACACAGGATTTGTCATTTCTTTCCGTACTGTCGGGTTCACCATTGTACCTTCTGGTGTTATTCTCACTTGGTTTCTGGTTAGAAGAAAAAACAGTTTTAGCTTTCTGAAAATAACAGCTGCATTAAGCAGGTAATGAATAATTAAGAACAGGAACTATCCCATTATTTTTCCACTGCTCCAGTTTTCTCTGCAGGAAAACAAGGGGGTTTGATATCCAAAGTATCCAAAGTTCGATATCCAAAGCTGACAGTTTCAGCTCACAAACAAGGGAAGAAAAATCATTTAAGAAAAGAAAATGGTCATTAATTTTTCTTCTTCCTTATTAACAGTGACATTAAGACAGAAGGCAGCTTCCATGTTATTTTTAACTCATCATTAGGGACTGCCAAATACAAAGTATCTATTTAGTAATGCTATTAGGAAAGCAGAGGAAATTTCAGCGTCCTATGTATGACGCTGCTTTGCAGCACTGAAAGTTTGTTTTCCCATCAAGTTCTTTTCCTACAAAATAAATGGTCTTACAAAAATTCTTCTAATGTGTCTACCTTACACATCCCTAAGACACACGACTCATCTGTTTTATTTCAACTTAAGCTTCGTTGAAAGGACCAGGTCATTCCAGTCGTACAACCAACAGACCAGCTCTACTCCTCAATCAGAAGCCAGGAGATATTTTAACATTTTTGTCCAAAGTAAAGTGTATCCTCTGACTACAAACCACTTAAAACAAGCATGTGGTCCGCAGGCTATGCACTGGGTCACACAACTCAAAGAAGTTCATTGCAGAACAAAAACCATAGCACTTTCAGTGCCAAAGAATTGTTTTAGTAGTAGTAATTTACTAAACTTACCTATTTAGTTTGGATTGGTCTTGTCTAGTTTATTTGAAACATAACTAAAACCTATCTATTTTCAGTAGATCAGCAGAAGGCATTTGCAGTTCAAGGGATTGTGTCTCAGAGAAGTAGCCCTTGAAGCTATCTCTCAAGGGCACAAGAGGCACAAGAAATGTCTCTTAATAGAGAAACATCAATGCTGCTATTCTTCATTTAGAGAACACCAGAACCTTCACAAAAAGGCCAAGAACAAACATGATAAATTTCAACTAAAAAAACCCAGATATAGGATAAACTTAAAATCCTTACAGGACAGTTTTTATAATGAAAACAGTTCTGCAGTATTATCAGTCAGCAAGGCCATACATATATTTTTTATGCTTGAATTCTGCAGCAGTTCTCCCACAGAAGCCTCACATGAACCGTGTATGAAACCAGAACTCATTTTATTTCAAATTCTAATACCTACCTACTACGCATTGATCAATACATCTTAAAAGGAGGCTAACTTCTTTTGCCCCATTTCACAAGTGGGAGCACATTGCATATGCTAACCATGACTTCAGTATTAGCTACAGCTGGCTTTTACAATAATAAACCCAGTATGCATAAACCAGATCTTCCACAAATAGCAAAAATCAGTTTTAAAAAAATACAGTAACACACCAACCCCCCCAAAGAACAAACAAACAAATACCAGTAGAACCAAGTTGGTTTCCGAGATGGTTTTCTTTTTGTCATCTTTCTGTTCTCTGCTTTGAGAAGAAGAACGACGCCTGCCTTTTGCTGGCCGACCAGGAGATCTAGATCGAGATCTGCTAGAACTTCTTCTGGAGGGAGAACTTGAAGAGGACTGGCTCTTCCTGTGCTTGAATGCTGACTGGGACTAAAAGGAAGAGGGAAAGAAAACAAAATCTTATCTTAGATGTTTCGAAGAACAATTTTAGAAACTTGTTTTTTTTCCTGATGAGGACTCTGGCATATAGTTCTACAGAACTGTCCTTACCTCCTTTACTGATGCTGTACAAAGGCTGCTAAGAGAGAGCAACTACAGCATACTCATTTTGCTGGTAACATCCAAACAATCCCACCCCAACTCCAACTGCTGACAATTCCTGTCAAAGCTACAGAAATCAGCACATGGATGTAAGCTACCTGGGAGCATTAAGCTCTTAATCCTTTGCATAAGTGAATGCATTGATAGCTGTCCCTTAAGCCTTAAAGGACAGCTATCATTTCAGTTACTTCGCTTGATTAATACATTTGGCATATCAAGATGCAATGATCTGCTTACAGCAACACAGCTCAAATTAACCCTAAAAAAAACCCAACTCAGCTAAATCACTAAATTAGATAAGTAATTTCTTACAGTTTTCACCAAAAGCATTCAATTTTACTTCTCTGTGAAGTCTACACAATGCTAGTTTTCCCATGTAAAATTTCCACAACTTTTATAAGGCACAAATGCTTTGTAACAAAGAAAGGTATCTTCTCAGCTTGAGTTTGCTAACTTGTAAGCACAAGGTAAACAAGTTATACTCTTAAGAGCAGTGAAAATGCTTGTCTACCTCAAGGCAGAAACAATTTGTTCCAAAAGAAAAGGCCAGTTACAGGTCATACACACTGCCACCAAAAAGTGAAACTGTAGCTCACATAAACACACATAATTTGGCTTTGAACTTACGCAGGTTTTGGAACAGGCCTTAAAAATCAACTACAGCAAACATTCAAATAGCTTTCCGTCTGCTGCATTATCGCGTATTAAACTGAAATGAAACTTGCACACTGAGTTGTAAAGGCCTTTATTACGAACAAAAAATGAAATAATCGAGATGTGTAAAGAGAAAGGGATGTGCTCATACATATGTGACATGACCTTTTCTCAAAAGTCCCAAATTGTCACAAATAAAGCAGAACACCTTGCAAAACCTTTGGGGTCCTAAAACGTTACAAATTATTCACAGATGTTTTAAGTATGTGGCTAAAGGGCACGTGGTATTTATATTTACAGTGATCCTTGACTACATGCTTGCATTTGTTTTAAGATTTTCTTATTTATAAGTGGAAAAAGGTCAAATGAATACCACGCTCTGATTACTAGAGCTTTAGAAGCTACCCGAAAACAATGTCTCATGAACAATCATGCTATAGAGTTCCTGAAGGACTGGACTTGTTTTTCCCCAAATGTATCACTCTTTGTTCAACATAAAGAAAACAATCACACTTCTTTAAAGACAGGGTCAGCGCTCTGGACTTCTACTTTAAATGTCACATAGGAAAAAGCTATTATTTAGCACCAATTCCCTGAAGACACAGTTAATGAAGACTTGCAAAGGGACTATCCAGTTTTAAGTTGCATTTTATCTACATCACAAAAATCAATACAATTTTCTGTTATAAATCTTGGTAATTATATAAAACGTACTCACTCTTATATCACTTTCTTTCAACGCAAGTTCAGTCCCATCTTTGTACTTCACAGTATAAAGATGAGAAACATCATCATAACTAGTCACTTGTACTTCATAGTACAAGACACTTCCCGGCCAACGGCCCATCACCACCTCGCCATCCGCAAACCTCCGGTTTGGCATTTTCCAGAAGGAATCCCTGGGAAAGAAGTAAATCAATACATATGACAGTTAAGATGTTATGAAACAAAAAACCATTCGAATGTATTAATAGCACATCTAGACCTGTAGTCAACTGTGATACACAATCTCCATCACCAGAGCCCACAAAAAGCAGGCAAAGTGTATATCTGACCAGAATTAACATAATGCAGTTACCTTATCTAGAGGGGAAAAAAGTAATGGGATGGTATCCAAGTATCCTCTAACTCTGTTTTCCTGTGGTTCTACAAAAGTGACTGAAGTGATGATTTCTAAATGTTAAAATAAAAACTCCCTAATCTATTCAATACACACAGCCACACTATATGCTTTCTGTCATTTATTATGTCAAACACTCAAAAGTTGGGAAACACCAGAATTAGGGTCCTGTATGGGTTGAGTATTTCCTCTTTTCCACTTATTCAGCACAAGGCATGACTTTTGCAGGGGCCTGTAACAAAGCAAAGTGCAGCACCAAAGCAATCACATAATATCATGAAAAACTAAATTCCATGCCCCTGTCTGCACCGTAAGTGCAGATATTAGTAAAACATGGTTTAAGTAACTACCACCCTTGGTCCACCATACCAGGCTGCTGGGAAAACCACAACAACTGCAACTTTACATTTAAAAACAGAACTTTAATTAAGTGCTCTATGACTCTTTGAAAAGTGCCTTGGTTTATGTCACCGCCTTGTGAAAACTGTTATCCACAGAAGAATATGCTTTTAACCTGAACTTCTGTGGCTCAGGTCTCAATACAAAGTGAGACTATCTTAAAAGACTAAGGAAAATACATGCTAATTTACATACTATCACCATCTGGATGATAAACAGGGGGTGGGGTGGGGGGTGAGGGAGGGGAGGAGAATGACACCAAACAACCCAGCAACTGTTTTTGTTTCAAAGCGTTTTAACTTGTTTGCTATAAATATGAAGCCACAAAATCAGGGAAACAAAATATTTAACTAGATGCTCATTCATTACACATTAACTAACCTGCAGTGAAAAGTTAAGATTCTTTGGCAAAAAAAACCCTGTTACTATGCAATCACAGACCTTGAGAACACATTGGGGGATGGGGCTAAGTGAGGCTTTTCAATCAGCTTTCACTCTTGGCATTTCCTGAAGCTGCTGCTGTTTCATTTTACACCTGTGTAGCTCTCCAAGTCAAAGAAGAAACCAAAATCTTGGCAAAATCCCCTCATGTGGATTTTACTGGTAATATTCCTAATTGCTTTGGAACAGAAACATCTGGCCATCTCCTTTTCTGTATAGCATTTGAAGGAGCAAAAAGAGTAAGTTTTATCATTTGGTTTCACTCATACTTGCCAGTTAGAAAAGTTACCAGAGTTCTAGTCCATGCTCACAAGTACAAGCTCTTCCAGCTCAACTGTCTTCTACCTGTGTTTATCCCAGTCAGTTTAACCCACTCCAATTCATAGCCTTGTTTCTTATGACTTCCATGACAGACAACTTCTGTATTTTAATTTCAAAGTCTTCTCCATGCTCTCCTCAAGCCCCTTCAATTCCTTGGGGGTTTTCTGTCTTTTCTGCCCCTGTTCACATAACTAGCTCCAGTTCCTCTTCACCACCTCTGGGCTCAAGATCTGATCCCAAACCCCATCTGTCTCCTTGTCCAGTTTTCTCAGCCAAAAGAGAGTTCTTCAGGAGACACATGTCTACTACTGCTCTTTCCTCAGTCTCTCGCACAGTTCCAACTTCTTCCTCCTCTTCCATAGAGACTGAAACACTGGTCCTCCACCACGTCCAGCCATCACTTCCAGCAGATGTCAGAACCTGATCTGACTTCACTTTCCCTTTGCTCTTGTACTTCCTACACTCCAGCCAGCTGTTTCTTCTCTTGTCCTGGAACACCTCAGGCATCATGTGCAAACTCAGAGCCTGACCAGGACAGAGCTGCCAGATCGTGGGACAAAGCTGTGAAAACCAGAATCTTTGGAGTTTAAGTCCTTTTTGAAAAGGGGAAACACTTTTTCACAACATTGTTACTAAGGACATGTAAACTGATCTTTTTGACTTAAAACAACCACTTCAAAATTTCATAGGGATAATAAAATGCAATTGTCTGCCAAACATCAAACCCCAGCATCTTCGCACACAAATGTGAAATCAAGCCAAAGAAAAGATAACCTGACGATTTAATTCTTTTTGAAGGCAGAAAGACCTTCCCTCCTTCCAACCTTGCTCTCAAAAGGAGCTGAAGGAAGTTTTAAGAAGTTGGAAAATCTAGTTGAAGGACTAAAAACTACATCAAGGTCATGTAAGACATCCTGAGGTGATAATTTGAAATTCCAGAATAATAAACGAATTTAAGCAAATGGAAATACTATCCTGTGATTCAAAGTAACGAATAAACTTATTATTGGAAAGACCTCCTTATTTTTCCATTTTTTTCTTAAAGTTTAGTAAGGAGATAAACTAGTAAATGCTAAAAGGCAAATGTAACTCCTTAACCCATCAAAAATTACCACCTTGTTCTGCACCCCTGTGCCTCCTGGGAGGGATGTTTGCAACCCTCATTCCATAAATCCCACTTCAAAAGGCTACACCTTTTAAAGGCAGCCTTTGTCTGTTCAGGTAACAAAAACCATTACTGGCATTGAGACAAATAAAGATTTTCTTCAAAAGAAATACAGTTTAGAAATTACATTTTTCATGTACTCTCTTTCAAGCTCTACACACACTCCCGATAAATTTCAGGGTCTCAGTTGGCATCAGCCCAATGTTCACAGTTGCCCTATACCAATGGAGCCTGTACAGTACAGACATCTGATCACAAGTATATTCACTTAGTCACAAGTTGAAATCTGTATTTTCTGCACCATTATGACTTCCCTTTAGGAAATCTAAGGAAATAGCTCAAAAGGATTTTGGATCCTACCAAGCCAAGGTATTTAACACAAAACTCCCTGGAGCTTAAAAGCTGGTCAAGAAGAAAAGTTACTGCTGACTCAGCCAAGAACAAAACAATTAGAGAAAAGTGGGAGAGAAACATATTGCCTCATACATCCATTTCTGGTCTTTCTTAATGACCCTCTCACTAGGTATGTGGAAACATATTTCACTTCTGTCAAGTAAGTAAGAAGAAAAAGACTGCTAGCTTGTAGTCACTAGAAGATCATACCACAACACCCCACGTTTTAAGAAGAAATAAAAAAAGACACTAAAATTTTCCCCTCTTGGAAAAGCAAAGTTCATACATATCCAACAACTCTACTTTCCAATTCTGACATCCCACCACTGGTAGATATAATCTTGTGTATGTCAGAGGAGGGAGCTAGCTGAAGGCAAGAAAAGAAATGCAGTAAACCAAAGGAAACACTGACAAGGCTCACAAGACACAGCTGCCTACACGGGGAGTTAATTAACACTGAATTCACCAAGGAGACGGGGCTGTGCAGGACCCTTTCAGAATTACCATTCCACGTTTCTATCTGTCCCTCCACAATGGTGGGGGCACCTACCACTGCTCCAAGCTTGGCTCGACTAAAGAGCCGAATCAGCCTCGCCGCTAAAACCCAGCACAAATACATCCGAAAGTAAAACAAAACCCTGTCAATCCTCAAACAGCGAAACGAGGTTTTCCCCTTTGAAAAGGCGTTCCAGCGGGAGCACCGAAAGCGGACGCAGCGCGCCAGGAGCCCGAACTCTCCACACAGGGCCGCGGCGGTGTTGACAGGAAGGGACCCACGTGCGGGGGAGGG